TTCGGTAAAAATTCAAAATATTTCTCTGACTTTGTCGCGTGCTGCACGCGGGTAGAGGCTCACAAACTTGCCAGTATGTATCTTTTCAGTGATCGCTTCTTCCAGGCGAATATTTCGCCATAAACTAGGTCTAATCTTTGACTTTAAGATCACCGAGGTTCGCAATTTTCAAAAACATCCAAAACACAAATTTTGACTGTTTAATAGTTTGCGTCAGCTTGCGTTTTTTCTGTCACAAACATTGCTTTTTGCAATTCTTACTCTTCTAAATACCGATTAGGGATCTTGATAGTGCTTTTTGCAGAGCATGCTTACGGCATTCTGTGACATTAAATCCAAACGAAATCTCTTATAGACGTTGTTGTGGCATTATTTTAAATATTTTGGCGCAAATAATTTTGGCGCACCCTGTAGACGGTTAGCTACAGTTTTAGAAGGAAGTCCAGAATTTAGTGGCGCGATATCCCCAGTAGTCAATTTGTGGAGTTGATCTTGCTCCGCAAATGACAACTTCATTACTCTCATTTTTTTGTCTGGCTTGTGTCTTGTTTTTTTCGTTATAAAGCATTTCGCCGCTTTGCTCACGCGCATTGTGGCAGTGAAATCCACGGGAAAAAGTAATGTGGCGTACCATAGTAATGCACGAGCTCCTCTCAGTTTTACTTAACCGAACCTCATTCAGAGGCACTAGTTTCCAGTTGATGCGTTATACGCCAACTGAAAAAGACTGTGTTTCACTCAGTTTTGCTAGCTTCAGTTTTTGGTGATTTAGATCGCTTAAATGTTATCATTGCTCTCAAAGGGTTATTTCAGACTGCCGCACTGACTGCAGCAGACTGCAGCAGACTGCAGCTGACTGCACTGACTGCAGCAGACTGCAGCTGACTGCAGCTGACCGCACTGACCGCACCGGTCGCAGCCTCTTTTCTCAAAAGAAAACAACCGCGATTACCAAAACAGCGTGATTTACGCATAAGAAGATCATAAGTTTTATTGGAATTCTTCTCAATCAAATTTTTGCGATAGTTTTCTTTGGTATGTTCGCATTTGTTACAATTCCTCCTATCATTGCATATACCTGTTTTGTAACATTATAAACCGTTTCTCTTTTGCTTTTACGTATATATTGTTGTTGTTTGTTTAAACCACAACTATTTATCCTCTCCGCCTGCATGCTACAGCCGCTGCGGTCGTTGCGGTCAGTGCGGTCAGCTGCAGTCTGCTGCAGTCAGTGCACAGCTGCAGTCTGCTGCAGTCTGTTGCGGTCAGTGCAGACTGCTGCAGTCAGTGCGGCAGTATGAAACAACCCAAACTTTTCAAAAAGGTTTCTTCTTACGATGCACTTCATCCTTTTCTTCTCTGTTCTAGAAAATTGTTTCATTGAGAAGAATAGTATGCTATTGTAGAATACTGTTGGCGCCAATAAAAATCATTCAGTCTAGCAACTCCAACGCTTTCAATAATGATTGTTTTTGCTATAAGCAAAAAAAAAATAATTCTCATTGAGTAGTGGTGTTTACAAATGGTTTAGAGAGCAACCTCTGATGTCACTAGTCAGAGTATTTGTCACCTTTACACCTACTACTAATCCCGTTAAAAAGCGCTCTTGTATCTGATCACGAAACTTGTCGACTGCAAGAATTCGACGAATTATTTTATTTGTGTATCATTTAAATCTTACTTATTTTAGAGCTACGAATTTATTGAAGACGAAATACGATCCAGCTACCACCCGCAAAATTTCTTCTGTTTCTCGGTTGACAAGAAAGCCAAAGAAGATTTGTACTCCAAGATATCTAGGCTGTCGAAATGTCTACCCAACGTAATCATAAACCCAAGTAGGTTTCATTACCAAAGGTTCAAAAAGAGGAATGAGCTGCGTTGGTCAGCTTATTGAGTTCTCGAGTCAGAATTCTGTAATGTTTCTTGACTGGACTGTAGCTGAGAGCATCAAACACAGACAAGTAATAACTTTTGTAGCGATAGGCTTTTACCTTTCCGTATTCGTTGCATATGTCCTTCAGATGAGATTTAACTAGAAAGTGCAATCTTGCTCGCAGGACCCAGCACAGGTGGCACTTAGACAGGCTCATGTTTTTGTATAGAGGAAAGCGCAAAAATATCGATTTTGCGGGGTCACTAGTTTTGCACTCGATTCATTTTGGTAGAAAATTACTAGCCCAGAACCATAATCTTCACAATCAAAAGACGTGTTACATTCCTATTAATCCAACGAAGTCTTGTCTCTTCTCTGAAAGAAGATTTTCATGTCGCACGTCATATTTCACAGTCCCTTAATCTCTCACCCTCTTTTTTATTCTATCTTTTCATCTTGCACGCGCAAGGTTCCTCTTTTATCAGTCCACTTTTGCAAAGGCAACAGTACCCTTAGTGGAAACGTGGATATACAAAGCCGTTTCTTGTTTGAATATTTGGCTTGTTTGCAACAAATATGCAATGATATAAAATTAATTGTAATGTTTAAAATATTCTGACGTTTTGTGAAACAAATGAATAGCAAACTCTTTAGTGAGTTAGTTAGCCCTTCTGCCACCTTGAACCAGTTGAGGTGGCCTAAGACTACAGGACTTATTAATTGCTCGGGTGCACAAGCAATCGCTCCCGCGCGGCCGCTCTGCCTAGACTCTGCTCCTTTTTTCGCGAACATGCTCTCTTATCACTTTCTCACCACGAGCGTGGGAAAGGCAGGAACTTGAATCGCTAGTCAAGCATGCGAATTTAACTAGCATGTTTATGAAATAGGTGGACTTCCACGATTTAGTTTCTCAGTCCTTGATTCTGAATACAAAAACCTCATGCCTTTTCGCTGTACCGAAGCGGCAATTTGCGTTGCGACTTGGTCATTAGCTTGATAGGGGATTCTAGTACTGGAGGCTGACAAAAGCCCAAGACCTTTGAGTCACAGACGGTGGTTAGCACAGTGACAACCGCTCGACACACATGGTGTGTCAAGATTCAACACACCATATGTGTCATTGAAATGGCTACTATTTTGTGTCAAACCCACCCCGGTGTCTTCTTTTCCTTTATGCTGGATCTAGATACAACTTTCACTGTTTTTGCCAGCATTCCAGCGTTACTGTATGTACTGTAATGGAATTGTGCGGTTTTTATCCAGAAAATGTTGACTTTTCCGTGAAATGCCTTGGTCATCAATGTGTTAATACTTACAGTTTACAAATAGTCGTGACTGCTGGCTCAATCCCGCTTTAACCCCAAAGTGCTCGCCGAAGATAGCTGGTGCCAGTAAAGAAAATACGAACAGCATTCCTTCTATTCGTTTCTGTTCTGTTCATTACGTTCAATGTTCATCTTGTGTCTTGTTCTTTTTTTCTTGTTCTTTCTTCTCCATCGTATTTCAAAGGCAATGCCGCATGTTCTGCAAAACCAACAAAGATTTCGCTCTGTGTCCTAGATCTTGCTGAAACTTGATTGTCGTGAACCAATTCTAGTTTTTAAGCTGCTACCTAAACATAACATGAGTACTTATATGTGAGAATCTTTCACAAATTACGCGATTCCATACGCCATTGCATCAAAGTCGAGATGAAAATGTAAAAAAACGCGCGACAAAGCAAAACAAGCTGTCCAAGGTAGCATTTGAAAAATCGCAAAAATTGATCGACGTAAAGTTTGGAAGCAAAATTTAAAAAATTAGGTACGGATTCAGATTTTTGTTCAAACGATAGTAAATGCCCCATAAAACATATATAAATCTTCTGTTTTTTTTTCGTTACAAATTCATTCAAAGGCAGTGTCTCATCTAAGTTAAGGTCGCATGGATCTTCACATATTCTATTATAGGGATCTCTAAATAAGGTATTACAACAAGTCCCACTCAATTTGATACCCACCACGCATAGAAAAATTCGTTCAAAGTGGTACGCGTAGAGCGATTTGGTACGCGCGGACGACTCCTTCGGTCTCCTCCCTTACGCTTTTGAACATATCCCTCCACTTGGCATCCCACCTCTCCTCTGTTGCTGCCACTGTGGCTGAGGCTGAAGTTGAAAGGCACAACTCGTTTACGTTGCTTCCGCGGGGCCTCCAGAAAACGGGGTTTTTGAAGACTTCGTGCGATTTCAAGCCCTACATTGCTAAACAAGATCCGACAGGCTTGCAAAATGCAAAAATTTCGGCGACTAAATTTTGGTGAGACAGTGCCTTTAACGAAAAGGCATGGTTTTGCTGGAAAGGTGTTAGACTATTTCTACAACGTACGACATACTGTTGCAAGTACAACAAAAACATTCAGCTCTTCAAAGCTTAGTTAACAAAGAGCGCCAAGTTTAGCATGAAACCCGAGAGAAGGAACATATTCTTACTTTTAGTTGCTTTTTTATTGAGTTTCCATTAAAAAAAGCTAATTTAGCTTTTAGTGATTGAACAATACTGCCTGACCAAATTGGAATTTCGCACAATCTTTATAGGCGAAGTGAATTTATGATTTGAATTTTTCAAAAAAAGCTTCCAAACTCCAAGCTAATCAAACTTGTTGTTCAAGTATGCAACTATCATCTTGTAGTGGTGTCTTTCCTCTATCGTGTGCTGTGTTTGTCACAATTCTGATAAAGCTTGCAATAGTAGCGTGAGAAAGTGCATCAATCATGACCAATCAATAAACAAAGTTCCAATCTTTACAACAAAGTAAGCCACGTGTCAAAACCTCCATCTTACACGTCTTTTATGAGGTAGGAAGGACAATAAACATTTGTAAACGCTTCTGCATTTGAACGACAATGGTAGACAACATTGTGTTCGAGATCATCTTAGCTTTTCAAAATTATTGAAGTATTTAGTGCGCTATTCCATTAACAGCCGAGGACGCAATATGAATCAAGCCCATTACGATTGCCTCAAACTTCTTTCAAAATTACAGGGCTGGCAGTATGCCATATTACTTCAGGTCTGTGATAATCTTTTAGCGTAATTTCGCAAAGGTATTGGGAGAATTTGAAGCATGCTACGCGCTATTCCAGAATTACGACATGATGATCAAATCCGTGTATGAGACTGTGGCGATATTGCATGAGCTCAACGGAGCAAATGACATTTGTTCAAGGCCTTGCGAAAGCAGAAGATGGAATCATACAGCAAAATGGGATGCGCGTTCACTCAAGCTTTTCCGAAACGGTGTCTCTGACGGTTGTAGTGTAAACACAACAAATAATTTTTACAGAGTCACAAGCATCGGCAACCCAGCTAGCAGCCAATCTAACAATAGTACGACACATGGTACAGTCTACAATAAGCAGAGCTGCTGTTGAATGGGCTGTTAAAACCGTTGATTTGAGTACGCTTATCAAACAAATCAACACAGCTGTAAGTACATATCAAACGCATTTCTATAAATTGTTTAGATAGTAATTTCGTTCTTTGCAAGTGGACTTAACATCGCACATACGATACAACTTTTCATGCTCCGTCAAATGATTATGACTGCATTGCACTTCTACCAACAAACTTTCTGAAAATAACCAAAACGTTTTCGTTATGCTCGAGTTTCGGCACCTTTTAGATTTTTTTATCAACTTCCAAAAGAAGTTCAATTAACGGAACGGATGGATAAAGCAAACTCTACAAAATATAAGAAAAAACTTTTTCCTCTTTTTAAATCGCCGTAATCTTGGTCAAGTATCAGAGCATCATCAGCATCATCAATTGCTACTCTCCAACATCAGCAGCTAACGAATCAGAAAACTAGTTGCATTTTAGAAAGACGTGGAGGGAGTCGTCGGCAACGAGAGTCCTTTTACATTTTTGTTGTGGGCGACTTCAACGCAGAAATTCGGATGCCAGTAGAAAAGGAATTTGGAATCGGAAGTTTGGATATGGGTTCCGGAACGAAAACGGCATTCGTCTCGTGGGGCTTCTCTCCGCCTCACGGTTTTTCCATGAAAGTCCATTTAAGAAAAAAAAACATCTCCGATGGACTTGGAAATTGCTCAGCGGAACGACTCATGCGAAGATCGACCACATCTCACCCTACGAGCAAAGGTGCGATTTATTGAAAGCTGGAAAAGAAGGTCTGCCACAGTGCCGCAAGAAAAAAATGTCGCTTATGACGGTAATAGTCTAGTTAAGCTCATATCAAGTTGTGACTGACCCATCGAGGAGGACCCCATGACTGAATCAGCTTCTGAAAGGATTGCGAGCCTGCGGAAAGTGCGCCTCTGTGACTTTTGTGAAGAACTTGGAACGCATGTTGAAAACCACCAAGCAACTACTAGAAAGAAGAAGATCTTAAAAAGTGCCGAAGGAACCTCTGCAAATGTCACGTGCCACTGGCTGCCTATTGATCTGAAACGGAAAATTTTAGATTGGGAAGAACTTCTACACTAATCTCTTCCGCTCAGCGCCGATGCTCGTTGTTCCCACATTAAAAAAGTATCACCTCGAATTCTACGTGTTGAAGTGCGTATTGCAATTAGAGCAATGAAGACATAAACGGCTCCAAGACAGATCATCTTTTTGTCGATATTCTGCGAACCGGAAGACGAAGTCTACACGAAATTCTCGCGTCGCACCTGACCTCTTACCTTCGAAAGGAAAAAAAATCAGACCATTAGAGGACGTCAAAAACCGTCCTTTTTTTATAAAGAAAAATAACGGAAAACCTTCGAAACCACCTTCCAATATGCCTGCCGAGTTTGCTGTACAAGCTTTTCACAAAAATTGTCCTCGCTCGCATATCCAAACTGGATAAAGCCCAACCCCAAGAACACTAATTTTGCAGTGGATTCAATTGTATAAACCACAACATACGGTTCGAGGATCAAAGCAGTCTGCCGAAGATACCGCTGCCTGCCATCCTAACCGAATGCCGCAAGCACTGCGCAACAACAATGCAGTTATCTCTTGCCTTTTTTTGCATTCAATGAAAAGACACTGGACTGGGACGAGAGGGGCATACGAGTTGATGGGAGATTCCTGTCCAACCTTCATTTTGCGGATGACATCGTTCTTTTTTCGAGAAGTATCACTGAAGCAGAGAATAGCTGAAGCTGAATGAAGTTGTGAAGAAGATTGGCTTGTGAATTTGAAAGAAGACTCAGTTGATGAGGAACGCACTTACGAAAATGCAGAATAACAGTTGAAAGGTACCCTTATGGAGACTCTTCTTACGTGTATCTCACAAGGGAGGTCGAATCAGTCGAAGTGGCCTTTTCAAATGGGTTACTATTTTGAAGAGCGTTAAACGCTGATTCCGAATCTTTTTTCGTTATCTGCCGAGCGCCTCTGGACGCCGAGTTATAAATGTTTTTTGGAGCGAAAAATGAACGCAGAATTCAAGTAAAATTGACTATTACGGACTTTTCAGCGCCTGAACAGAGCAACATGTAGTATGAGTGTTTTGGGCAGAAGGTATCCTTTGAAATGGAGTGCTCTGATAACCAACATTGGACCATTTGAGCAATTCTGACGAATTTTGCTCTAATTACGCATTCAATTTTTCAACCCAAAGAACGCTCATAACTCGGCGTCCAGAGGCGCTCGGCAGATAACGAAGACAGATTCGGAATCAGCATCCTAAGCTCTATAAGACAGTATACATTTCAAGATGAAATGCCACTTCGACCATGTATCCTTCCCTTGTCAGATGTTTGATGAACATGGAGAACGACCTGAGGGAATAGCTTAACAAGAGAAGAAAAGCAGGTTGGCCGCCTCCGGCCTATAAAGAAGCCTTCGATCAAATGACGGACTTTGAAGCTTCGTGCCCACCTGTTCGACTCAACCATACTCCCGGCGCTCTGTTGCGCGGACTTGGGGCTGACACTGTCACGTCGAAAGCTTTAAAGAACACTCAAAGAGCGCCAGAGCGCAATCTTTTGAAAATAACCCGACACAACAACAGCTTGTGGGATTTCGCAGCACGGATATGAGAAAAATGTCCTGTCTTCGCGACCCAGCGGAATACTTTGCAAAAGCGAAACATCGATGAATCGGTTACATCATGAGAAGAACAAACGACAGATGGACACTAAGAACATCAGAGTAGATACTTCGAGCAAAACGTTTTCTAAGCAGGCCCTCCAACAAGATGGGCAGACGTGTATGTGAAACGGATGGACCAGCTGAGAAATTAGCTGGATACAATTTTTTCCCCTAGAAGTTGTGATGCAGCCACCGGCGACGACCAAGAAGATCGTAGATGTCCGAAGTGAGGGACAGGGATCAATGGAAACTTCTGTACTGGGGCCAGCACGTCACGTGAGGACGGGCTATCTAAGTATCTAACAAGGAAAGGATACTGGTCGAAGTGGCGTTTTCGTATGAGATGTAAATTACCTTATAGAGCATGGAACGCTGATTCCAAATCCACTTTCGGTTTCTGCAAAGCGCTTTTGAAAGGGGAGTTCTGGGAAATTTTTGAGGTAAGAATTTAGTGATTTGACTGAGGGGTCTGGGAAATTTTTGAGGTAAGAATTTAATGATCTAGCTAAGATAAAAAATAGGTGTTGAGGTTTTTTCAACGCTCTATCTCTTTTAAAAAAGAGTCATCGGCTGCTGTTTAGCGCAGGATAATCTAGTGGAAGAGTACTATCGAACGGTGCCCACCGCAGTCTCCTATGTGTGATGCTCTTTGCGTTACACCCATGCAAGAGGCGTTGGACAAATTCAAGATTATTGAAAACAAGATATTGAAGACAACCTGTATATCGAAAGATTCGCCTTGACGAGCTGAATACAATGTTGTTTTCGGATTTTGAACATACTCATTCGAAAAGAAGTTATGGCCCTGCGTAATTTGCGTGATTCACATGAATTTCGCGGAATTTCCGGAAATTTTGCATGTCCTGTGAGTGGTTTTGTACTATAAGAAAGCGATAAAAACTCGCACAGCGTTTTCTAAAATACATTTCTTATTGTATGTCAAAAATGATCCAATTTTGTTATATCGTCAGTGATAAATGATAAAATGATGATATCAATACAACGACAGATAAGAGTGGGCTCAAATTTATGCGGTCGATTCCCACGTTCATCTTCCATATAGGTGCAGAATTTCAGCCCAGGCTGCGGCGTGAAGCGAGTTGAAGCAAAAACACCATTCTAGGTAAGAATTGGCAGCAATGGCATGTGCCGATGAGAAATCGATCGATCGCAGCAGCGAGGGATCTACCAATTGCACCGAGTAGTAGAAATAGAAAAGCCTGTACATCACTTATAATGGAGAAAGAGCGATAGAAATTCACATAGCGTTTCCTACAGTACTTTTCTTACTATATGCAAAAAATGATCCAAAAATGTGATATTATCAGTGATCATGACTTATAATAAGCGGCTTAATCTGAAGTTGTGTGGAGTTTGTCCGTTACGAAATTACAGTGAGGAATGATTTACGATACTAAACATCATGTGAGGTTAAGAAGCGAGTATGTTTCATTTTTAACTACGGCTCACGTTGCAATAAACCGAAAAATGATTTGAGAGACAAGCTCTCAGAAAGTGAGTTTACCACGGTTCACGATGCCAGTGCAAACCTCTGCGAAGCAGAGGTGAAGCACTGGTAAATGATAAAATGCTTATATCAGTGATAAGGGTAGATAAAAACTGCCCAATTTTTCGCGATAGTTTTCGATAATGAAAACTTTGTACCAAAACCTGCTATTCGCGATCAACGCTGTGATAACTGTTCACAAAAGCCTTAACATAGAAGACAGCAAGGTATCATTGTAAGTCTACCCCCTCACCATGAATCATGTACATACTGTATATCAAACGATTCGTCTCATCAAGCTGAAGCCAAATCTATACGCAGATTGCAAATAAAGTGGATTTAAAAGAAGTTACAGCTAAATTCCGCTTATCCCGCAAATCCCGCGAATCCCGTGAAGTCGCGAATCCCGCGAATCCCGACAATCCCGCGAATCCCGGCGATCCCGCAGTTTTGGACAAATTCTACCGCTGCAACTGTAGCTAAGATGAAAATAGGTGTTGAGGTCTTTCCAACGCTTAAATGAAGTAATCACTAACGTATGTTTATTACATTAGGGGCCTTCCATAAAACGTCCTGGTAGTAAGCATGCCCTATTTGAGCTAACAGACTAAGATTCTGAATGATTTTATTAAAGCGGAGCGATCAAGTTTTGCATTAGAACCTTTCCATAACTCTCCTTCAAAGCGCTTTGCAGATCTTAAAAGTGGATTTGAACTCAGCGTTCCATGCTCTATAAGGCATCATACATATCGCATGGAAACGCCACATCGATCAATTCCCTTGCAAGTACAAAAATTCAGACCCGAATAATTTTAAGAAATGTATTATTTTTCTTAGGAATTTCTTTTTTTTAAATTTTTCTTCTTCACATGTGATT